GAGGAAAAAAAAACATGATTTTATGAAATCTCTCTAACACTTGCTAGAGATAAGGAAAGATTTTCGATTCAAAACGAGAGCGAGAAGGAGTAAGGAGCAAGCGAGATGAAAAGTCATCAAAGAGTTCCGAAATCTCGCTCGCCAGACTCGCTTTTTTTTATCTTCACATGTATACATGTCAACTTATTGTGAAAAATAATTTTTATATTTCGCATTTTTTCGATTTGAAAATAATTGCAATAGATTAATGAAATTTTTGCGGTTAAAATGACACTAAACATGACATAAATCGGATCATTTTTAATTAAATTAATTATTAAATTTTAATTATATATTTTATTAAAAATGATTTGATTTATGTCGTGTTTGATGTCATTTTAATCGCAAAAATCTTATTAATTCATTGCAATTATTTTTAAATCGAAAAAGAGTGAAATAAAAATTTTAATTTTTACGATATTTAAATCCCTCTCTCTAACAGTTGTTATAAATAAGGAAAGGTCTCCGATTTGAAGCGAGAGCGTTCGAAGAAGTAAGGAGCAAGCGAGATGACAAGACATCAAAGAATTCCGAAGTTTCGCTCGCCAAGCTTGCTTTTTCTTATCTTCATATGTATACATGTCAACTTATTGTGAAAAATAAAATTTTTATATTTCACATTTTTTCGATTTGAAAATAATTGCAATGGATTAATGAAATTTTTGCAATTAAAATGACACCAAACATGACGTAAATTGGATCATTTTTAATTAAATTAATTATTAAATTTTAATTATTTATTTTATTTATTTTATTTTTTTTAATTTGGAATTAACAATTACATATTTTTTTTAAACAACATGTGTTTTCTTTACACCAATTGATTCCTCTCATTATTTTATACATAAAAGGTAAGATAATCGAAAAATAAATATTTTACTAGATATTTTATGGTTTATGCAAAATTAAGAAATGATTTCAAGCCTCATAACTCGAAAAGTACTCAATGAAGAAATACTTTCTTATAGTGTTTTGGAAAGCTCTCGAGATAAGCTACACAAATATGTAATAAAAAATAGGAGGTTCTATTTAAGAAATTGACGGTGATCTTCACGTGACTTTCAAATGACTCTCCCATGTCAAATCATTGCCACTATCTGATGGTCCCTTCAAGCCATACAACTTTTGTTTGAAACATTTCTTTCTAAAGTACATAGTTTATGAAATATTTGATCGGTCCGGGACTTTTGGAACACTCTGTATTATACTATTCTTGTTAGTTATATTAATAACTGTTAAAGTTAACAGTTATTAATATAACTCTGTCAGTTTGATGATATTTATTTTATATTATTAAGAAATAATATTGTTCAATGGGAATGAAATATAATGAAAATAAATATAGTAATAATAATCAAGAGACACTTCTAACGCTTATATAACGCAAACTTCGCTCCCGTAATAGAAATTCAAGATGCTGTATAGAGGTATTCCTGGCACATAAATACGCACAAACACATACACACGCACTCACGCGTTTACAATATCATTTATCATATCAGCTTATTATTTTTTTATTTCTTAACTTTATATTAACTCAACTGTATATTTTATCTGTACTAGAATACAGGCGCGCGCTATTTATTTCTTACAATTGATACTGCATATAGTATATATATATATATATATATATATATATCCCCCATAGCAAAAAATGTCACAGTGACATCACAATAAGCTCACAATAGAGTCACAAGGTGACAAAAAAATGTGATGTCACTGTGATGTCATTGTGAGATTATTGGAAGGTAATAGTGATATCATTAATCACAATTGAAGTGATATCATTGTAAAATGTCACATTGATATAACTAGTATATCACGAAATGTAACAATAAGGATAAAAAAATCTGTCATAGCAAGAAAATGTCACAGTGACATCATAAAGATGTTGTGCTGTGACGATAAAAAATATATTTAATCGTCACAGCACAACATTTTTATGATGTTATAGTGATATCATCAAAAATGTCACATTGATATAACTAGTATATCACGAAATGTAACAATAATGATAAAAAATCTCCATAGCAAAAATATGTCACAGTGACATCATAAAGATGTTGTGCTGTCTGGGTCATCTACTTTATGACCTCCTTTGAATCAAACTTTTATTTGAAATATTTTTCTTTAAAATAGTCGCGTTCAGCAGAATGATTGCTAAATTGTCATCTTGTCAAGACTTGACGTTGATTTGTTCTAAAAGTAAAAGAATCAATCACGTTACCGTTAATAGACGCTACTTAATGTAACCTAACCTTACCTAACCCTAATGCAAGCGTGACCGTGTAGGCGCGTACACGTTGTCCAAAACGCTCTGCAGCGTATACGCAGTCATTGTTGTCTATTGGTGTACTAGCACGTGTTTTTTATTTGCATAATAAGAGGACATTTTGATTCAAAAGTGAAACATCATATAGTTATTGCTAAGTGATCTTCTGAAATCATAAGAAGTGATTTAACACAAAAGTGAAAAACATCAACATAAAAATTAAGGTTAGTATATATACAATATTTTTTTGTCTTATGTTTGTCTTATATTTTTTCATATTTATTGTAACAAAATATCTTTTTTTCATTGTATATGTATATTTAGAAAAAAAAATATTTTTTGTAAAAAATATTTTTGTAAAAAATATGGGTCGCAAACGAAAACACTCAATATTTTATAGTGCAAGACATAAACGAAGGTTAGTTGCAAAAAACACAGTAACAGATATGAATATGATAACTCATCAGACTGATTCTGCGGATTCTATGGTTATAATTAATAATAATAATGATCAACTAATTGTTGTTGATGAGAATGCTTCATCTTTATGTAATTCTGATAAAGTATACTCAGATAGAAATCTAAATCAATCTTGTGATGAAAGTGATGAAAATAATATTAACTTTCTGAATGAAAATAATGCCTGTATGATACAAAATTACACGGATGCAAATAAGCTGCAAGCTATAGTCGATAACAATTATGAAAATCTGTGTTTAAATGATAACGAAACTTTTATACATGACATAAATAAATGGGCTATTGAAGAAAAGATATCACATAAATCACTCCGTCGCCTTTTACAGATATTGCAAACACACACTAATTATACTTTGCCTAAAGATCCACGTACATTATTGCAAACTCCTAAATTAACTAAAATTATACAAATTGAAAACGGAGATTACTGCCACTTAGGTCTCGAAAAAGCTCTTCTGAAAATTATTAAAGAACGTAAAAGATTGAATTTTGCTCTTGATAACATTCAATTATTTATAAATATTGATGGTTTACCTATATATAAATCTTCCGCAAAGAGTTTATGGCCAATATTATGTGCAGATAATATTATAAACAATGTATATGTCATTGCCTTATATTATGGTGAAGGAAAACCAAAAAATGCAAACGAGTTTTTAAAAATGTTTGTAGATGATGCTATTGCTTTTATAAATAATGGGATTGATTATGAGGGACAGATCATAAAAGTCGAAATTAAAGCAATAATTTGTGACGCTCCTGCTAAATCATTTATTTTAAATGTAAAAGGACACACTGGATATAATAGTTGCACTAAATGCATTATTGAAGGTGATAATATAGAAGGACATATATGTTTTCCATACACATCTAATATGATGTTACGTAATGATAAAGAATTTTTTACTGGATCTTATAATCTTGATTATCAAACTGGTGACACAATTTTAAAAAAATATACCAAATCTAGGCTTAGTTACAAATGTGCCACTAGATTATATGCACCTGGTATGTTTGGGTGTTATGCGTAAACTTATTATGTTATGGCTTTCAGGACCACTTAAGACAAGATTATCAAATTTAGACAAAGAAAAAATTTCTAAAAAACTAATAAAGTTACGCAATTATATTCCTTCTGATTTTGCTCGAAAACCAAGATCATTAAAATACATGAAACATTGGAAAGCCACAGAATATCGGCAATTTTTATTATATACGGGTCCTATTATATTGAAAGGAATACTACAAGAAAATGTATATTTAAATTTTTTAACATTACATGTAGCAATCACAATTCTTGCACATCCTACTTTAACATATCAAACTTCTATTATAGAATATGCAGAAAATTTATTAAAACATTTTGTAAAATCATTTCAAGTTATATACGGTTCTAAATATATTTCACAATTTATTATTCACAATATTCATAATTTATTACATCTTGCTGCAGACGTAAAACAATTTGGTGCTCTGGATAAATTCAGTGCATTTAAATTTGAGAATTATATGTCTACGTTAAAGAAATTAATTCGTAAAACTAACCAACCATTACAGCAATTAACAAGAAGATTTGCAGAAATTGAGACAATACATAATAATGAAACATTCAAAATATATTCAAATTCATACGATATGGAAAAATGTTTTACACACTCTCATTGTGATGGTCCTATTACGAAAGATTTCATTTCTGTACAACAATATAAAATTTTTTGCAATAATCAATATTATATTAACTGTGATGATCCAAAAAATAATTGCATTTTTTTTGAAAATGGACAAATAATGTCAATTTTAAATTTCATTAAATCTAATGACAATAAAATGTATGCTATTGGCAAAGTGCTTGTGTTAGTGGAAGATTTATATACACAGCCTATTTCGTCATTAACTTTAAATATTGGTATCATGTCTGAATATTCTCATCTTCAGACATGGGAGTTTGATAAAATTAGAGCAAAAATGTTGAAAATGCCTTATAAAAAAAATTATATTATATTTCCAATGTTACACACAACTGAATAATACATATTTTTAATATTAATTTGCATTTATAATAAAATAATTAATCGTAATTCTAATACTCTAATATAAATTGCAAATATTATTATTATTATTATCATCACATTTTTATTATATTATAGATTATTTATAATTTTAATGCTGATAAATTTTTATTTAGTTATTATAATGGCGTATAATATTGTGGAGTTCGAAGATGGCTTACAAATTGTTCCTTCTGAATGGTTAACTGAAAATAATAAGGAATGTAAATGGCCATCATATACAAGTCAAATTAAGATAAATAAAGCAATTATGAAAAGAATATTTCCTTCTGATGATTGGCAATTATATAAAATAATCCGTATTTTTGGTAGCAGCGGTTAGTAATATAAAAATGTATTTTATTTTTTTTATCAAAAATTATATAAATTAAAATTATAATATATATGTATTAAAAGTATATATTAAAATTTAAATTTTAAGTGATATTTTATAAAATATATAAAAACAAAAATCTAATTTTTAATATTCAAACATTTTATACGTTTATTTAGATACATATGATAAAGCTATAGACAAACTTAAATTAGCTGAACAAATATCCGATATAGATGGTGATGATGGAAATGACCTCAAAAAATCGAGATATCAACGAGCAAAAAAAAATGGTTCCTCTGCTGATAATTCTGATACAAATGACACAAGCATCAATAAATTAAAAACTCGCAATGATTTAGAGTTAGATGATTTTCCTAATACACCAAAAGCTTTAACAATAAATAAGAGCAAAATCTGTGAAATAAGGACATCATTAATACAAGGTGATAAGAAAATGAATCGAGCAAAAAAATTTTCAAGTTCTTCTTCTGATAATTCAGATAGAACTGACACAAGCAATGATTTAGATGAAGCTTCTAATATATCAAACGATTTAAATAAAAGCAAAATGACCTATGAAATAAAAAAACCACTGATAAAAAGTGATAAGAAAATAACTAAGCCTCTGATACAAATAAGTAATGAAAAAGTAATTAATATTCAGTCTAAAAAAATTTCTGCAGTTACATGTAATAAATCCATAAGTTCACAAGAACATCGAACAGCAAATAAAGATGACCTTGTTCCACAAAATTCAGATACAATATCTACATCCAATACTTGTAATGCTGAGATTGATTTAGGTAAAATATATCTGTTATTAATTTTAAATTTTTGTAAAAGCTTACCTATATATATATTATTAAAGTTTTAATTTTTTTTATTTATATTACTGTAAACATATATTTAAAATGCTATATAATTCGTAATATATAATCTGACTAAATATACAATAATATGTGTCATCATTATTTTTGCAGATTTTCATAATTTAATTATCAGGAAACTAAATGCAGTATTGTTGAATCTTGCAACAATTGATGAACGTTTAATAAAGTTGGATAATCAAATCAGAAGAAATGAGGATACGGATTCAAAAGAAAATGAAGATTATGATTTCGATTTGCCAGCAGATACCGTAGAACAATTACAGAGAATTGATAATCAATTAAAAAACAAATGTATTGCTGCAGAAATGGTATACAAAATATTGTCATTTTATACTCACGATTAAAAACATTTTATTGAAATGTCTTATAAGAAGCAATATTTTGGACATATTTATTTATTTATATAATGTTAAATAATTTTAAAGAAGTTAAAAAAAAAGTAATGTTAACTTTTTTTATAACAGAAAAACAAATGTTTATTATTTTGATATTTTTAGATCATAAACTGATATTAATTAAATTATTTAATATTTTTAGACAAGACAATTGAGCCTTTTAGGAGGTAAGGATCATCATGATGTGATTTCGTACATGATGAAACATATTTTAACAAATATGCAATGGAATATAGTTGGGCTGGTGCAAAATTGAAAAATGCCTTTAAAAATCTTCGCATTACTATATGCATCATAAGTAAATATATAAATATTTAATCACAGAAATGTTTTTATTGACGTATTTTTGACACTTTATATATATTAGGTTGAGTCATAAGTCATTTCGGCTCCGACCAATAGATCATATCAGTTTTTCGCTGATAAATTGAGCGTGGCATCATGATGTTACCCAAAAGATGGCAAAAAGTCATCGAAAAAAATGGTCAATACATAACTGAATAAAATTATTCCTTTCTATAAAAAAAATCGCCTTTGAATATCATAGTAAAAACCGAAATGACTTATGACTCAACCCAATAGAATTCTATGCATGGTTATATTGGATGATGCTATTAGAACTCTAATATCATCATTCAATAATATGTATATCATAGGAATATAAAATAATTTTGAATAGTATATATACATATATATATATATATATATATATATATATATATATATATACAATATATATATATATATATATATATATATATATATATATAATTAAGTCGCTTTAAATTTTTATATAATCTATAACCACACATATCTGTTTAAACTTGTTGTTAGATGCTGCGCGAACTTCAAGAAGCAATTTAACAAATAAGGAAATTGAGGATATAATTGCAAGATGGCTAATTTTAGCCAAGCAGAGATTTGACCGAGATTTGTAAGTTATATATAATATATTATTAATATATTATTATATTAATATATATATTAATATATATTAATATATATATTAATATATTATTATATATTATATATAATATACAGGGTGGGGCAAAAGTTCCGGAACGGTCAATTATCTCAGGAAATATTGGTTTATTAAAAAAATGTTTCGAACAAAAGTTGTATGGTTAAAAAAAATCTATCTACTGATCTTATTAGTTTGACCTTGGGTGGCGTTGCCAAGGTCAGGTCAAGGTCACGTCAATTTTTTTAAATTAAGCATACCATTTTTGATTCAAGAATCTAATAGCTGATGTCAAGAGCTTTTCAAAACCCTATAATAAAGTATTTTTTCGTTAAGCACATCACAAGTTATGAAGCTTGAAAGTTATAGTACCGCCGGCATTAGCATTACCCAAGATATACCACGCGGAGGTTGCACGGTCGGATTTATATCTTTTTTGTTTTGTGATATGTGCGTGTATGCGTGTGTGTGCGTGTACGTGTGTGTGCATGTGTATGCGTGTACGTGTGTGTGCGTGTGTGTGCGTGTGCGTGCGTGCGTGCGTGCGTGCGTGCATACGCGCGCGCGCGTGCTCTCTTATGTGTTTCTAAATAAATGTTCATTAATTTATTAAGTGTTCAAATTGATGTCCTCCTGCTTCTTGGCAGTATCCTAAGCGAAAATAAAATGTATCTGTGACGTTTCTTAAAATTTCCGGTGTTATTAAATTTGAAATGTTTAATATTCTTTCCCTTAAATCGTTCACGTTGGTAGGTTTCGTTTCATAGACTCTACTTTTCAAATATCCCCAGTAGAAAAAGTCTAACGGGTTTAGATCGGGAGATCTCGGTGGCCATTCTATCGTGCCTCTTCTACCAATCCATCGACCAATAAAAGTTTCGTTTAGAAAATTGCGTACACGCAATGCGAAATGAGCTGGAGCCCCATCATGCACGCACGCACGCACGCACGCACGCACACGCACACGCATACACACGCACACACACGTACACGCACACACACGCATACACGCACATATCACAAAACAAAAAAGATATAAATCCGACCGTGCAATCTCCGCGTGGTATATCTTGGGTAATGCTAATGCCGGCGGTACTATAACTTTCAAGCTTCATAACTTGTGATGTGCTTAACGAAAAAATACTTTATTATAGGGTTTTGAAAAGCTCTTGACATCAGCTATTAGATTCTTGAATCAAAAATGGTATGTTTAATTTAAAAAAATTGACGTGACCTTGACCTGACCTTGGCAACGCCACCCAAGGTCAAACTAATAAGATCAGTAGATAGATTTTTTTGAACCATACAACTTTTGTTCGAAACATTTTTTTAATAAACCAATATTTCCTGAGATAATTGACCGTTCCGGAACTTTTGCCCCACCCTGTATAATATATTATATATAATATACCTCAATTTAACTATTTTATCATCTTATCTCAAACTTTTTATTTTTATAAGAAACTGATTTTAAAGAGGGTGAACACATGCACTATCTGTTCATTATTGCATGTATTAGTTTTTTTTAAATTAAATACAACGTTTAAGAACTTATTGTTATTTTTGTATAGAATATTTATTGCAGAATTGACTTATTGCACCTATGTATAACAATCACATATTTCTTTTTAGGAAAAAGGAAGAACGAAAAAAGAGATGCGAAAATGAGGAGATCTAAACAAAAAAAAGGACAGATCATTAAATATATATAGTAATTTTAATATATAATAAATAATATTTGAACGTTTATTATTCAGTTCATTAATACGTTTATTGCACAGTTTATTATTATTACCTTTATTTATAGATTTTATAAAGAGTTTATTTCTGCATATGTACTTTTTTATTTTGAATGTATTAATTTCATACGCAGTAATTATATAAATACTGTAAATTATTTAATACTGTAACCATTTAAATAAGAAAATATATATATATATATATATATTTTCTTATTTAAATGGTTACAGTATTAAATACATATGCATAGTTGTAAGTGCAATAAAGTAATTATTAAATATTATTTTTTAAATATAGTGTAGAACGAGAAAAGTTATAATAATATATACAGTTGAATATTAAAGTAATATTAAAGTAATTTAAAGTTCTAAGAGTATTTTAGTATTTTTATGCGTAGCTATAGCATAAAAAATGAACAATCGCTATTTTTATTTTATTAATGCCTATATATTAAAAAGTTATGCGCATTTAAGTTTTCTAACAATTATATCAATTTTTTTTTCATAATTCTGATAAAGTGATAACTAGAATTTAAAAAAAATTACTTTAAAAATTATTTATTATAAGTATTATTTATATATATGTGTTAGTGATATAGTTATTAAATGTGATTAAATGATGTGATTTAACGTGAATGTGTATTAAATGATAGTTATACACACACATACACACATATAATAATATGACTTATATATTTTGGAACGTATATGTATTATTTAAAAAAATAAAAATGTAATTAAATTGTAATTAAATAAATTACATTTATTTGAAAGAAAAACGTAGGGGAGACAAGGGTTGATTGTAACACGAGTAAAAAGTAATAATCTTTAAAATTAATAAAAAACATATTTTATAGCAGCGCTAAAAAGAGATAAATGCTCGGCAATTAAATGCTCGGCAATTAAAACTTGTATTGAACGTTTATCTCTGCTTTTAGCACTGCTATAGCATTGCTATGAATTTCATTAATTTTAAAGATTGGTACTTTTACTCGTGTTAAAACCAATCTTTGTCTCTCTTATATAAAACCCTTTTATGACGTATAAATTATATCACTATAACATTCCATTTCCTATCACAATGATGTCATAGTGACATCACATCTGTATAAATTACATCACTGTAACATTCCATTTCCTATCACAATGATGTCATAGTGATATCACATCTGTATAAGTTACATCGCTATAACATTCCATTTCTTATCACAATGATGTCATGATGACATCACATCTGTTACAAAGCGGACATTCGCACATCACTATGACATCACTGTGATTTTATTTTGACATATTTTATCGTCACAGAGCAATGTCTTTGTGACATCACTGTGACATTTTTTGCTATGGGGGATATATATATATATATATATATATATATATATATAGTGTCACAAAAGTAACTGAACGGCTGGATATTTCCTCAGTTAAGATTTTTTTTTAAAAGTTCAAGATCATTATTTAAATAATTTTCAACGAGGAATCTAATGGTAACCTCAAATTTGACCTAGACAATGACCTTTAAGGTTATTTGAAAGTCACCTTTATTTTTTTAAATAGAAACCCCCTTTTTGAAATCGACAATCGGAAGAGCGAGAAATTTTACGTTCAAATATATACTCAGGTTATAGGTCCGACAATGACCTCAAAGGTCATTTAAACTTAAAAAAGATATGGGTACCTCTGAGAATAAAAGCTGTTCAGAAAATTTTGTATCGACAAAAGTTATTTATTTTAACAAAGTGCATTGGGTAGTGACCTTAATCTTGATCTCGACTATGACCTTCAAGGTCATTTGATTTGAAGATTCGTTCTTTGTATAATAGTTTTTCGGAAATCAATAAGTGATCAATTACGATATCAAATTTTCAAATTTTACCAACAATAAGAAAAACCATTCTTATTTGAGATCCGGAAAAGTTATTATTAAAATTTTTTGCTTTATCGATTTCTGAACTCAAAAAAGCAGATTTCTATTTATAAAAAAATTGACTTTCAAATGATCTTGAAGATCATGGTCGTGGTCAAGATTAAGGTCATTACCTTTGTCACTGCCTTGTTAAAATAAATAATTTTTCTCGATACAAAATTTTTTGAACAGCTTTCATTCTCAGAGATATCCATATCTTGTTTAAATTTAAATGACATTTGAGGTCATGTCGGACCTTATATGTATTTCTCTCAGGTTTTCTCTTGAATATTATATATTTTAAAGAAAATTTTTTTCTTAATCGTAAAATCTTAATCGCTCACAATCTCAATCGTGTACTTACACTTAATCGTGTACTTACACTTAATCACAGTTAAATTGGGAATGGCAAGTTCTCATCAATAATACAAAATTTATATCATTATCTTCTACCACATCGTGTGGTAGGTATAACAGATATACTATAGATGTAGCTAGATTTATGTTTTGGGGTAAGTTAAAAATATTTCTATATCTTTGATAAAACGAGAGAACCTCTATACAATACAAATTATTATAATTACATTGTAGCAATGTTTTTGTAATGTTTTATTGCAATATTGTAATGAAATATTACAAAGACATTGCAGAGCAAAGATCCACAAATTGCCAACACAGTTGCAAGATAACATAAATATTTTAGAAAAATTTTAAATCAAAATTTTACAATTACATATTTTTAAAACATATAGAAAATATGCAAATTATAGATAATAAACTAAAATATTCAATTTTACTTATTTTATCCTTATAATTGTTTAAATATTACAAAATCAATTTATATAAAAAATAAGATCCACTTTAAGAGCTTTATTTACAAAAAAAATGAAATTTTTAATCTTCAAATCTCTAAAATATAAAACTTCTACTTATAAAAGTTATAAATTTTCACACATAGTTTCACACAAAGTTATAAATTTTCATACAACGTAATCAATATTTTCGTTGCATCATACCAAATGTAAAAGTATTATAATACTTTTCTTACAATTTAATTTATTATGAAGAAATAGATCGAAATGTCTAGATTTCCATTTTTATTTATTGTAATGTACTATATAGCATGAGGTATCTATTAATTATATACTTGATAATTATATACTTGAGTTATTAATTTGTAAAAAATTATATGTTATATAAAAATTATTACATATAAAAAAATTGAATGATTTTGAGCAGATGCTGATTATGTATTATATTTATTTCTTATAAGCAGAAATTTATAACTTTTAAATAAAATGTAAAATTTTCCAATATTAAAATTTATATTTGTAAAAAATTTTTATATATTTGCTGGACAAATTATTATTATTATTACTGTTACTTTAACAAAATTGTTTTTTTCACATTTAAAAAACAAAAAATTAAATATAAATTTCTTTATATACATAATTTTTAACAAATTTGTTATTTCGTTGATTACCAAGATAAACTTTTAATGCTTGCCAAGAACGAACTCGCAAAAAAGCAACATAAAGTTGTCCATGATTAAAAACATCTTTGCGAAGATCTAATTCAATTCTATCAAACGTCTGTCCTTGTGATTTATTAATCGTCATGGCAAAATCTAATTTTATTGGAAATTGTCTTCTGGAAAAAGTAAAAGGAAATACATTTTCGCAATATAACGTTATACGATTCAAAAAAACAATGTCTCCTGTTTTGTCACATGTTAAAATCTTACATTTTAATAAATGATCTGTAAGCTCTGTAATCATTAATCTAGTGCCATTACAAAGACCTTCATTGATACTTAAATTTTAATTAACATAATAATACTATTTGATCTTAAACATAATTCATGAGGAGGAAGAGACGATGGAGATAAACTATTTAAATATTCTGGTAACAATGTTTCACTCATGTCACCATTGTCAATATTTACAACAATGTCTACACTTGTATAAATTCGTTCATCATTTATATCTAATAATTCCACAACTTTCTTATTAATTTCATCTACATCACATTTCTTGCAGAAAGTATAGCACATTTAGACATTTTAACAAACTTTTTTTCTTATTAAATCACCATATATATCTTCCACAATATCAGCATTAATAGAAGCTATATAACATTCAGGAATTTGTATATTATCATTAAGATCATTTAATGTACCATCTCCAACATTCAATAAAAACTTTACAAATTCAATTTCTTCTGAAGAAGAACTCGCATATTTTGTATTAAAGAGAATTTTACGAAATGCTTCTAAAGAGAACTAAACTTAATAGAAAGATTTACAATTTCACTTCGAGTAGCATGTACTTTAATAGGCAAAAGTTGTCTAAAATCACCTAATAAAACAATTTTTCCACCGAAAGGAATATCATTATTCATAATATCACGCAATGTTCGATCCATTATTTCTAAAGCATATCGTGGTGCCATTGGTGCTTCATCCCAAATAAAAATATCAATTTTTTTTAAATATTGAATTTCTTTTGATTGGTTTTTAATAGTTGATGATGAATCAGCAAATAATGAAACAGGTAATCCAAATATCTTATGAACTGTTTTTCCAAAAGGTAATAATGTAGCTGCAATACCTGTAAATGCCATTGTACATACACGTTTATTTCTAATTCTAGCTAAATAATAGATAGTATAGTTGTGTATATACATATATGTTTTACCTGATCCATCTGGACTATCAATATAAAAACAATTATTTGAGATAATATTATTGTTTAATTCATTTAATATAAGATCGACGATCTCTTTCTGCTTATTATTTAATTGTTTATATTGTTTGGTTCCTATTTCCATAGCTTCTTCAAATATCATGCAATTCTCTTCTTCGTCATTTTCTGTTAATTGTTTCATTTGTGGAAAATCTACAAAACTTTTACCTTCAGCACGAAGCATATTAATTTGTTCATATGCTTTATTTTGTCCTTGTAATATACCAAAATGTTGAATATAATCCTCAGACATAGCTACTTTAAAGTTTTCCCACAATTCTTCAGGA